AAGTGTTGAAGTGTTGAAGTGTTGAAGTGTTGAAGTGTTGAAGTGTTGAAGTGTTGAAGTGTTGATTTGTTGAAGTGCTTAAGTGTTGAAGTGTTGAAGTGTTGAAATTGAAGTGTTGAAGTGCTGAGTTGTTGAAGTGCTAAAGTGTTAAAGTGTTGAAGTGTTGAAGTGTTGAAGTGTTGAAGTGTTGAAGTGTTGAAGTGTTGAAGAGTTGAAGTGTTGAAGTGTTGATTTGTTGAAGTGCTTAAGTGTTGAAGTGTTGAAGTGTTGAAGTTGAAGTGTTGAAGTGCTGAGTTGTTGAAGTGCTAAAGTGTTGAAGTGTTAAAGTGTTGAAGTGTTGAAGTGTTGAAGTGTTAAAGTGTTGAAGTGTTGAAGTGCTGAAGTTGAAGTGTTGAAGTGCTGAGTTGTTGAAGTGCTAAAGTGTTGAAGTGCGAAAGTGTTGAAGTGTTGAAGTGTTGAGTTGTTGAAGTGCTGAAGTGTTGAAGTGTTGAAGTGTTGAAGTTGAAGTGTTGAAGTGCTGAGTTGTTGAAGTGCTAAAATGTTTAAGTGCTAAAGTGTTGAAGTGTTGAAGTGTTGAAGTTGAAGTGCTCAAATGTCGAAGTGTTCAAGTGTTCAAGTGTTTAAGTGTTCAAGTGTTCAAGTTTTGGAGTTGTCAATAAAATGAGATTAATAATTATTTATGTCTGGTTCAGTAGCTAAAATTTCCGGAAATTCATGAAAATTGCACTCGATATTTAGGACGTAAAAGTTTTGATTCGTCCCTAGTCCTTGGTGCTTACAAGGCAATTTAGATTGCGGCCCTAACTGTTAAAATCAAGCACCACATTTTCTGGAATTCGACTAGATGATTACTCTATCTATCCTTGTATTCCAGGGTATAATCAATATGGAACTAATCTTAATCCGTAGATCTGGATAAGTATAGGAGATTTAATCTGAAAGGGACAGTAAAGGAAAAATGAAAGGGGGTATAGGCTAAAAGCTAATCACTTTAGCTTTTCATCGAGACCCTTGAGACGCCTATCTGAAGTTCCTAACTCAAGAGTTGATATAAAGCTGTTTCAAACTTGTACGAAAATGCATATATATACAATTTCGTATAGAAATAGTTGGTTTAAACAGACCATGCTCAGAAAAACAGCAACCAATCTGAAAAAGATGATATCCCAGAGAAAGCTAATTGTAATTTAGGTTTACTTTTATATTTCTTGTTTCAACACTTCAACACTTCAACACTTCAACACTTCAACACTTCAACACTTCAACACTTCAACACTTCAACACTTCAACACTTCAACACTTCAACACTTCAACAATTCAACACTTCAACACTTCATCATTTCAACACTTCAACACTTCAACACTTTAGCACTTCAACAACTCAGCACTTCAACACTTCAACTTCAACACTTCAACACTTCAACACTTCAAAACTTCAACACTTTAGCACTTCAACTCTTCAACACTTCAACACTTCAACACTTCAACACTTCAACACTTCAACACTTCAACACTTCAACACTTCAACACTTTAGCACTTCTAAAGTGTGCAAAATTCTTGTAATGTCCGCCCTATTTCTAGTACAACAATATTTAAAATATTACAAAACAATACAATAATTACGAAATATTGCAATTTTGCAGTGTACACACACTCATTTTATTTCATGGGTTTATTTTTAAGTTTATGTTTTGTTTTTAAACAACAATAGAAACATCAGCTTTTCACAGTTCAGTTAGAGAAATTTTGATATATAAGTCAAATTCGAGATTGAAGATAGATATGCTTTAAAGGGATTTTGACCCTCCACATTATGAGTGTTCCCTTTAAATTTCCATCTGAGGAAGATATCTTGGTTTTTCTATCTAAAACTCTGTTGATATCTAATTTACCCGCGATCTGAGAAATTTTTCAAGGGTACCGTTGTAAATCATGCATGAGAAATCAGTCAAAATTAAGTGCCTAGTCTCTTTATAAAGAAGAAGAAAAGAAACTTGAAAGGTTGAAACATTTAAACTTTAATTCTTTTTCTTTTCTTGAGCTGAGTTAACAGTTTTAAATGCAACTTTGCTAAACTTGTTTAGCTTTTCACAAAATATATCCTAAAATATTGGATCTAAGATCTAAAATGTTAGATCAAGTTCTAAAATGTTAGATCAAGTTCTAAAATGTTAGATCAAGTTCTAAAATGTAAGATCAAGTTCTAAAATGTTAGATCAAGATCTAAAATGTAATATCAAGTTCTAAAATGTAAGAACAAGTTCCAAAATGTTAAATCAAGCTCTATAATGTTATATCAAGTTCTAAAATGTTAGATCAAGTTCCAAAATGTTAAATCAAGTTCTGAAATGTTAGATCAAGTTCTGAAAAAAATATCAAGCTTTCTTAAGATTCATGATCTTAAAGGGACTGTAAGAGTAATTCCAAGTGATCCTTCATGTAAAGATAACAATGTCCGATTCACAACGGTACCCTTAAAACCTTAATCTGATCCACAAAGTACAAAATATTGTCCTTTTACTAGGTTTAAAATATTCTATTCTAATAGTTTCTATGTTTTCCTTCAGTCGAATCGAACAATCCATTTTTAAGTAAAAAATGACAATTAAATTTTCTTTTCAAACTTATTAAAATGGATTTTTTAATTCATACTTAATCTGGCAACGTTTCAAAGGGAACCATTGCGCATCGGCCTTTGCCATCTTTGCATGGAGGGTAACTAGAAATAACGCATATAGTCCTTTTTAATGAGTGTGCCTTAGAAATATAAAGAAGTTCTTCTAACTATTTATATCTCTTTTATTATTTAAACAAATCTATAATGAAATATTTCAGAGTTTTTTTATTCGTTCAAAACGATGAAATTTTTTCAAAAATGATTAATCTTGAAATCTATTTCCATTCTATGTTTCTATTAAGAGACATTCAAGCTTAATTTCAAGTGACCCTTCATGCAAAAAGGGTAATGTCCGATTTACAATGGTACCCTTTAAACTTGTAATTGCGTATCGAGGACATAGAGCTCTGTGTTTATATATCTCGAAAATTATATATTTCTTAATTATAATGCAGCTGGCAAACAAAAAGTCCGATAATTTCAAGTGTCCTTGTAGAAAAATCCTTTATCGGTTTTCATTGGCGCACTGTGGTGAATCAGACACGATACTCGATGCAAATGGAGAGTGGGTGCACTGTGGTGAATCAGACACGATACTCGATGTAAATGGAGATTCAGCTAAAATTATGCCTATAGTCCCTTCAACCCTATTCCGGCCCCCCATAACGTCGAATTTATTTACTTTTTAAACTAACATGCCCCTCACTTTAGGCGTAATTAGCTGGGAATTCATATCTACTGCCTGAGTCCTCAGGTACACTGCATAGATGACTTATTTTGACATATCAAACTCATTTCTTGCAAAAAAATCTTGCCGGGATAGTCCGTCTCGTCATAATGTGAACAACAAGTTTTCGCGCAATTTTACAACCTAAAAACAAAGTATCAAATCAATCTTAGTATTGAATTTTATAACTCTGAACTCTCAGCTGATATAAACTCTTGTTAAAAAACAGAAAACACCAAAGAATGTACAACTAAGGTGGTGGTGGTGGGGAAGGAACTGCAAGCTAAAAGGGAAAAGGTCATATTCTTATTTTTATTTTTCTCACATATGTGAGAAGAAAAAAAATGTATCCGGAATCCGGATACATATAAGAAATTCAGAATATTTTTTTTTCTTTTATATTATAGCTCTTCATTAAGCGCAGTTATGATTGAAAATCATACTTGTGCAATAAAAATTCTCATTCCCCCTAGGACCGTTCGTTCGCAATTGCGCCAAAAAAGCGCAAAATTTGATCTGTAATACCTGACCTATTTGAAAAATTTAAAATTTACTTATTTTACAGCTGCGACGTTGGATAAATTAATTTTATAAATAACTTTCTAATTATATTTTCTAAATTAAAAATGTATTTGACAAGAATTTAAAATTGTTTTCAAATTAAACTAGTTTCGTAAGGACGTTTAAATTAAACTTTACACTAAATTTAGAAAAATCTAAAATTTACGAGATAAAAATCAATAAATCCACGAAATTTTTTTTTTTATTGCTTGATACGTTAAGATGAGAAAATGCCGCAGATGGAGCAATATTTCAAGCTTAATTTAATGAAACAACATCATGTTTAATTATATACTAGCTGATGTTTCAGGCGTTGTCCGTGGAACTTTTTTTTATTAATTCGAATATTAATTTTTTGGGAACAAAAAATTTCATTTTTTTTGCGTATGTTACTCCCGGCCCAGAATACCCACGAGATTTCTCGAAAAAATGTAAGCTTTAGTTTAAAGACTAGCTTGGGAACCCAGCTTATCTTGAAAAACTTTCCCTAGACAATTCAACAACAGAATTTTAAACCAAAAATAGAACATTTTCGTGGTTCTATCAAAATCTCCAATCAAGTTGTTTGAGACAAACTGGTAAAGGGATTCATGAGGTATATAATAGGTCATCCAAACAAAGATTATTACTTTATATATTGAAGATAAATCTTCTCTTTTTTCAACACTTACTTTGAATTCAGCTAAAAAATTTCATATTCTATAATCCACAAATGAAAACTATAGATTAATAACAATACAGATAGAATAGTAGATGTCGTCTTTTTAAGATTTAGAGGGTTTTTCGTTTACACTTACCGGGAGGAAAAAGCCCAAAGGAGTTACGCGCATTTTGAATTACAATACAAAGAAAGAAAATACGCGTAACTCCTTTGGGTTTCTGCCACATGGTCAACGAAAAACCCTTAAAACTTGAAACAGTAATTTCAAGTGACCCTGTCCATTTCAAGACGGGTATGTCTGATTTGCGACAGTACCTTATAAACCATCATCAAAGTAGAAATGCGAAAGATATCGAAGATTATCTGGCTAAAAAGCTGAATAGTACATATTTCTCACAATTTGCTTCATTTTTTTTGTACTTCAGGGATGAATTATTTCCATTTTTTTTCAAACGAGATCATTTCCTTTTAAACACAAAGAAAAAACGAAAAACCAAACAATCGTTTTTAAACACCATAGTTTTTTAAAAATATCGTTTTTAAAAACGGTCGCTCTCAAAAACGATAGTTTTTAGTTTTAAACCATTATTTTTGAAAACGACTCTTCGTTAACGACAACTAACGACGAGCCTTCGTTAACTATCGTGAACGACCTTTTGAGGAGAAAATACATTTCTTGGTCGGAAAATCCAAGGTGAGAAAACATTCAGGTTATTTGTCTGGATAAAAAAAAACATTTAAGGCAACATTCATTCTGAAAAAAATCATATTCATCAGCGAAATTTTTTTCAATTTACTTCGTTTTCGTTTTGAAATGAAAAGAAACCGCTATTAAAAAAATCAGTTTCCAGATTGAAGAATTTTTGTTCAGCCAAGGTTTAAAGAGAACCGTCTTGAATCAGATATGTAGGTTAAAATTACGTATGCAGTCCCTTTAAGATTTAAAAGGGGAAAGTTAAAATTTCAAAATTTTGAAAAATAATTTTTTTATTTAATTTAAATGATTTATTTGATACTTATAACAGAAAAATCTATGACTTTTTTCAATTTTCAATAAATTAAGATTATTGCTTGTAACCATCAGAATTTGAAAAATAAGATAATTAATCCTTTCAAAAGGAATGGATAATTACCAATAGGGTTTATTTAAAAATAAAAGCGACTTAAAAATTTCTGATACAGAAATTTTTCAATGAAGGAAATTATAGATAATTTTTGTTCTTTGACAGCTGGATATTTACCGGTTACCCTAGTGCAGCCACTCCTAAAGGAAAGGGAGTGACCGGCTGTGTAAGGTAGTTGAACTGAGTATGCAGTGTTGTTGAAAACTTAATTCGGATTCATTTGAGACATAATTAACTTTTTAAAGATCTGTAAATCCTGACGAAATTCGACGTTCAAAACTCATACTTTGGGGGTGGATACGTTTTCAGAATTAGTTTTTTTTATTATTAAATAACGACAGCGAAAAATAAAGTAAAAATTATACAGTAATCTAATTAGATGGTTAGGAACATATTTCTCAACAGAAATTTGTCAGTAAATCAATGCTAAAATCGTTTTTATAATTATATTAAATTTCTTATCTTCTTTCGCAGATTTCTTCAAATTCTTCAAATGTCGTCTTTTCAATAATAATTCTAGAACGAAAATCTTTGTGAATAATGAGAAACCATAATATTGAGATAATAAAAACTAATAATTGAACCAGATTACTTATTTTCGATGATAAGATTAATATTATATTCTCAACATGTTCCTATACATGACGTCTGTAGTTTATTGTAGAACTTTTTACATTTTATGTCGTCGTTATTTAATAATAAAAAAAAAACTAATTCTGAAAACGTATCCACTCCCAAAGTAAGAGTTTTGAACGTTGACTTTGCGCTCAAACTCAGGATTTAAAGATCTTTAAAAGTTTAATATGTCTCAAATGAATCCGAAAGAAGCTTTCCACAACATTGCATACTCAGTTCAACTACCTTACATAGCCGGTCACTCCCTTTAAGGGTCACTTGAAATTACGTTTACAGTCCCTTTAATACGAAAAAAAACAAGGAAACATAAGTCAAGCATGAAATATAGCTCTGTTTGTAAACCTACCTTTGTTTATGGAAATACCACAAAGGATAAGACTGTAAAGACGACCTGAAACTCTGAACTCTCATCCTTTGTAAGTAACCCTGTAGATTAAGACTCATTAACTTTAAAAATGAAAACCTTATTTAGGAATCTTTTATGTATTTGATGAGGATTTAAAGAAAATAGTGTCACCATTAAATTAATTAACTTGTTATGTAAAATGTGTCTGTGTTTTTTTGTACAATTGCTGTAGATAATAGATTTTGCATGTTTTTAAAATCAAAACTGGTTTTTTTTCTAAAAGCCATCTTTCTTTTCAATAGTTGTCTTGTTCTAAATCATTTTTTTAATAAAACTCCCAACATTTAAAAAAAAAAATCATCATGATAAATTTTACAATATTTTTATATTTTTATCCTAAAAATATATAAATGAGCGAACCGAAACCGATCGTCAAATTCGAGTTCTGTGATAAAAAATATGCAAGAAACGAACTATTAAAAAAACTAAATGTAAGTTAACTTTCCTTAAATTTCTGAACCCTGAAAATATTTGATTGAAAACAATTAGCAATATTAAGAACGAAAACAGTTTTAAAAAACAATAATTTAGGCTAGAATCATATTAGAATTACAACTCGTACCAGATTACATGGTAAGCATATTCTAGCTACACATTTCTCAGCAACATCCTTTGAGACTTTAAAATTGGGCTGAATTTATCCATCCTACTTTGTGTGACAATGGATCTAAATAAAATTTTCAAAATATCAAATGTTTGCTTAAATGTCATGAAAACGTAATTTCAAGTGCCCTTCGATCCATGTTAAGATAACAATGCCCGATTCACAACGGTACACTTTAAAGCTGTTCAAGTATTAATTAGTGAATCATGTTCATGAATTGACAATCTGGAACCTTGATAGAGGAATCTTGATAGAGGAATCTTGATAGAGGAATCTTGATAGAGGAATCTTGATAGAGGAACCTTGATAGAGGAATCTTGATAGAGGAATTTTCAAATCTTTTTTGGTTGTTTTTCGTTATGTTCAGGGTTTTACGAGACTAAGAAACTTTCCGCTCAGGCTGTCCAAAAACAACCAAGCAATTATTATGTAATATGTAATATGTAATTATTCTTTGATTAATTATTTAATAGCTAATGAACCCAGCAAATTTGGGGATTGGGATGTGGGATTGTTGGGATTTTGGGATATGTTGGGATGTGGGATGTTAACTTACAAGGATAATAACTAATAGGTTCATTAAAACATTACCCATCCCCGTTCAATCCAAGGGACTATGTACCAATCTGAAAAAATGATAAATTTAAATATTAACCTCTATACTCCTTTAAATTTTTGCGAACACTCCAATTGAATTTATTCAGATGTTTTTAATTTTGTTTGCTCTGGTTCAAGTTGGAGTTTGCTTTGGTTGGTCAAGGTAACATTTATTATAATAAAGAAACAATTCTTATTTTCGATTATGAAATGTCACTATGGGTAGAGAGGGGCCTCGTTTTTTTGAACGAACACGATTTTTCGGAATGAACGAAATTGTACGTGAAAAGGGTGTCGTTGAATGATGGACGAACGAAACGGATTGTACAGAGAAACGAACGAATTTTCTAAAAGATTTTGAAAAAAAAGGGTTTTTTTTTTTACTGAACTAACAATTTTTTCAAACAATTTTTTGAAAAAACTATCATTTTTTTCTGAACGAACGATCGATCGAACACTTTTACTAAACAAATGATTTCACTGAACATTCATTCAGTGAGAAAACGACATAGATGGCGAATGAAAGATAATTTTGAGAATAACCTATATCAATTTTTTTGAACAATTGAAAAAAAATAAGAAAGTGAATTGTTTACAAACGATGAACGACCAAATTATTATAGTGATGAGGTCTTTAATCCTTATGCTAACCCTATAATGGCCTGGATTTACTCTGATGTAAGATGCCAGCCCTATTACCTGGAACATACTGACAGATACTTCTGCACAGATGACGGTGTATTCACATGTGTTAGTAAGTATAATGCATCTAAAGATTTGCATGATTTTAATGATAACAATGATAATAGCAATACTGATAATGATATTGATTATAATAATTATAGTAATAATAATAATAATAATAATAATAATAATAATAATAAGATGGATGGACTGGAGATAACTGTGATGAACCCGTCTGTCCAAATGGATGCAATTATGGCAAATGCGTTGCCCCAGGCATTTGTAGGTAAACACATCTTGATGTACTGCATGAAGCATAAGCATATCTTAAATTATTTAAAGGGCAAAATATCAATCTTAAATATCTTTATATTTTGTTCATAACATTTCTCTTTACATGAATATTTATCAATTCCGCTCAACGGAATTGGGATTGGAAACCCTACTTGAAATAAACACCGAAAACCATATAAAATTCTAGGTGTGATATGGGATACAACGGTGAAACCTGTCAATCTTGTATCAAGCTTGCAACCTGTGTTCATGGAACTTGTAACACAGCATTTCAATGCAATTGCGACCCTGGCTGGCAGGGAAGAGATTGCAATATTGCCAGCTGCAGTGATGGTTGTCATCCGGACTTTGGATTCTGTGACAGACCTGATTCATGCTTATGCAAGCATGGTAGTGGTATGCAAGGACCTAATTGTACTGAATGTATAGCCAAAGAAGGTAAACTCTCCCTTTTAAAAGAGTGGCATGCCCTATCCACGATGGTACCCTTTAAAACTTTGTTTGATCAAGGATAGATAAGATATCTTATGTTTCTTCCTTAAGAAATATTGAAAATTTTGTATTCTGGTTTTCTGTAAAAGCAAATTTATGCTCCGAAGACAATTAAGATCTGCATGATTACAGATAGATAATGACGATATTTTCCTCACTATTACTCAGATAGAGGCTAAAAGCTTATGGTTGTTAATCAGATATGCCACTCCTTTACAAACTATTTTCTGAAAAAAATACAGAATGGTCCACTTATGAAATTTATGCCTAGGATGTTGTCATGGAAGTTGCACTAATCCTGGAGAATGCAACTGTGATCCTAAACTATGGTCTGGACATCTTTGTGATCATCCAGTTTGCAGTGAAGGATGTGATTGTACACATGGATATTGCAACAAACCTAATACATGCATTTGTAAGCCTGGATGGCAAGGGGACAACTGTACTGAATGTGCTCCGTATCCTTACTGCAAGACTGATCACACCCTAGATACTGGAGCTTGTGTTGATCCTTGGGAGTGTTTGTGCAAAGGGGTATGTAATGTTTTCATGATTTACACTTTTTTAATCGTCCCGGTATATTTCAAAATGCTTATGTGTTTAGATAATTCCCCAATATTCCCCTAAAACGTGCATGATTTGAGCTGTTAAAACTTGTACTGTACATGCATTCAGTAGTAAAGTCCAGTCTGGACTACCCAAGGTCGACCCAGCACAATTTATGCAACAAATGTAGCCTGGCAAGGTCACAGTGTATATCGCTCTCTAAGCTGTATGGTTTTAAGATGGCCAGGTTGACGAACAGAGAATTCATAGGTTAATAACCATACAGATAGAACACTATATGTTGTATTTTCAAGATTTAAGTATTTTTAGTTCGCAATAACCCTGAGGCAGAGGCCCAAGGAGTTCCGCACAGGCAGCATTGAATTACTACAAGACAGAGAGAGAGAGCATACGGCGTAACTCCTTTGGGCCTCTGCCTCAGGGGTTCTGTGAACCAAAAATCCCTAAATCTTGAAAAGACAACATCTACTGTTCTATCTGTATTATTAGTGATCTATGAAAATACCAGTCGCTAGGAGAACTGAGTAAACGTTTCGTCTATCAGTGTCATGCAACTTTGAACATTTTAAACAGTTTAATGGTCTATTTAAAGCAGTAATCTCTATTTATCGGCTGATTCTTTGGATGTCCTGTAACTCATACACCTTTTTAATTTTGATTAGGGAATGCGGTAGAACCAATTAAGAATGTTCTTAGCTTGGTTTAAAAAGTTTAGTGGGGGGACTACAGGGGGATGATAGTTCTCTACCTGTGTGCTCAGTTAGCTGTACTGTACACTTACAACTGTTTACTAATATTGTTATACTGTCTATAGGTTAGGCCAGAATCAACTTATAATAAACAAATATGCAGTACGCTCTCGGTATAGTTTATGGCCTATACAATTTGTAAAGGATTAGCGTACATCATCACTCTATACACTATAATCTTGTTGGTGGACTACTATAGCGTATGTTCAGTTTTCCGGGCTTCTATGCTGGTGACTTAACAAATATTTAGGAATGGGCCGGACCACTCTGTGATATACTAGCCTCTGCACCTATTGCCGTGAAAATGGGGGCCTCCGGCAAGTATGTACTTGCATAACTTGAGGATTCTCTGACTTATGTAAATCTTGAATTATGAAATTATTTTGTAAAAAACAAAGAAACGGAACAATTGCCACCAATTCTAATTTTATTTAATCTCATTTAACTTTACAAATTGATCTGTTGGACCTTTGACCGTTAGATTTAATGGACATTTTATATTTAAGGTCTTTAACCTCAGTTTTCAAAGATATAGGGAATACCAAATTAGAGTTAGAGGCTTATGATCAGTTATTTTGTTACTTAATTTAAACAAGAATAAATACTAGCATATCAAAACAATGTATTTAAAGAATGACCAATTTTATTGATAAAAAAAACTTTTAAAAAGTTCTTATAATGTATTTTATGTTTTTTTGCATTATAATAGGTTTTATGTTTGGTTTTATTTTGATCTTATCTTGGGGTTTAATAATAATAATAATAATAATAATAATAATAATAATAATAATACACTGCGATTTAATGGTCTCACGCTCTCAAGCAAAAATCGTTGAGAATTTTGCCAATAACTTCTAAAAAACCACATCTAACAACAAGTGCTTTACAGTACTAAAATGTACATGTAAAGGGCTACAGAAAAGCATAAGTGAGTTAGAGCGGTAAAATTTAAGCTTAGGGCGTTGCGACACTTCAAAGTCAGCCCTGTCTTAAAAATTGATGAGACTGTTTATAAGGAGGCTGAATCTATGTGAATAATGAAAACAATAATAATAATAATAATGAAAACAATAAAAATAATAATAATAATGATAATAATTATGATAATGTGTTAAATAGAAAATATTCTTATAAATTAAACCTCCAATGGCCTGAATGATTTGTTCTTTTTCATCGACTGGTTTGTTTTCCTCAGTGTCCAGTCTAAAATAATTTCATCGATTGGTTTGTTTTCCTCTAGAAAATATTTCACCATGTCAATTAACGGCAATAGATTTAGAAAGCAAAATAAGGAAACTTTTTAAAGAAATATTTTAATTAAAAATCCGAAATATTTCATCTAAAAAAAACATTTTTAAAATAACTGCGAAATGTGCTTTTAGAAGATTTTCTAACCTGGCTTTTTCTGTATTTAATGGCATCATTTCAGCCATTTTTAATCTGAAAAATAAATCAACTTTAGTCTAGAGGATTTTGGTTAGTTCAAAACTGTATTTGTTGAAGTTTGCTTTTGTCAAACTTTGGAATATTTTTCTCCTAAAATAAATATTAAACGATCGTTTTAGCACCCATTTTGAAAACCAAAGATTAATAATAATACAGATAGAACACTTGATATCATCTTTTCAAGATTAAGTGGTTTTTCGTTCACTAAAACCCTAAGGCAGAAGCCCAAAGGAGTTTCGTGCATGCCGCGTTGAATGACAAGAGAGAAAGAGAGCATGCGCGTAACTCCTTTGAGCTTCTGCCTCAGGGTTTATTGTGAACGAAAATGGCTATATCTAGTCTTCTATCTGTATTATTATTAATCTATATTGAAAACCTATGCTCTGATTTTCACTTTTTGAAAGTGTTTACCCTGAGAAAAAAAAATAGATGAAAACGAACCAACATATAACCAACTTATTGAAAATCCCTGTAACGATCTAGCCCGATCAACTAATCAAATAATTGCCTCAAACTCTAACACTTCAGTCAATCCTGACTAAACTATCAGCTAAACAGCCACACTCTATATACTAGCGGTCTACACAGGCTTTAACACGTACGTACTATACAAAGATTGAAATTGAACTAATTTATTGATGACAGGTAAATAGGTTGACCGGTCGGGCCGGTCAGAGTACAAACTAAAATGATAGAAAAAATAGATGGAAGAACTATACAACTGATCCTAAATTCGATACATCCCATCTAAAAATATATAAAAATATATACCTATAATTAAAGCATTTTAAGCATAATGATGTTCGTAGATCGTAAAAGAAAACTGTCTGAAATGTTTTTATTTGACGTATCTAGTATGTCCAAAATTTACAAAGAAAATTTGCTAAAATTTTTTTTTTTTTATCACGTTAAATCGTATATTTTGAGCAAATAAATGAAATGTCAAAAAACTATAATTTGTTCAAAACTGAGGCTTAACAGTATCAATTAATGGTTTTTTGAGACACACTGTACATTATTTGTTAACAATGTATTGAAAGGTTTTTATCTATTTCTCAGAATTATATAGAATAGTTTCAGTAGAAATAAATATTTATCTCTAATTGGATAATGAGATAGATAGAAAGTATAGATGTTACCGACATACTATTTCTCTCGGTTCAGAATAGACAGCAAACACATGACTGAACCCTGATTGGATCAGGTGCTAATGGACTCGGCATACTAGAGTGATTATAATAAAAAAAAAAAAAAATTTTTTTTCGTTTTAAGGTAACTCAGAGAAAGGATTATTAGTTGGTTATAATGTATAACCTTTTAATACTTATAATGGCAAAGTAAATTTGTTTGACATTTCTAAGTTTCTTTCATAGAGGTTCAATTTACAGATTAGGGGAAAATGTTACCGAGAAATCAAGCCAAACCAAACCCAAGTAAAATTTATTTCAGGATTATGATTCAACCTTAGAGTTTCAGATTTAGAAAATTAATTTGTCATTTTTTTGCAAACTAGTTTTCCCACTTAGTTAAGATAAGAAGTGTCTGTAAATTCATACTAAAGTTTCATATCCTATCATTTTGAATTTTTGTACAGTTTCTAAAATAGACCAAAGAAGGAAAAATTTTTCTTTTTTGCAATTCATGTTATGCATGCAGTGTTTTTGCAACAATTTAAAATATTTCATACATATTACAAATTTTTGAAACGCATTAGACTGACTAAATATTTTCTAGATTATGAAATATTTTCAAGTAAATAAATTTTTTAAAAAGTGTTACAAAGTTATGCAAAAAGTATGCAAAAGTTTTCAAAAGTATGCAGAATTAGCAATAGTTTGCACGAGCCATTTGCTTTCTTTCTTTGTGAGTTTTGTTATCGCAGAATGTATGTCAACGGAAAAAAACAAACGTTTGCAAAACCTGTGCAAAAAATTATTCAAAACTGCGGGAAAAATGTTAAGGTTTATTTACTCTTCTCAGCAGCTTTCCAAAAACATATAACTTTCCATTGTTGAATAAAAGAATTGCTACATGTAGTGCATATAAAATTTATGCAAAACGTTTGCAAAAAGAGGGAAAATTTCTAAGGATTGTCATTCTCCTGAATTTAAGCTCTCTGAAAGCTATAGCTCATCAATTGCGCATTTCTACTGCAAATACGGAAATTGTCAGAATTAACATGATTTGAAAGATACCGTTGTGAATTTAAAATCACGGTATGAACATTGTACAGGTCACTGAAATGTTTTAAAACATGTCCCCCCCCCCTCCCCACCGGGCAGGGTTAACGTACTTTATGTCACTGTATGTACTATGTAGTGTATGAAAATGCACAAAGTGTGTGTTTGATATTTTCTTAATTTTGTGAAGAAACTTTTCTAAAAAGTTTTAAAGCAAAGTTTACCCTTTGTTTTATCTCCAGTGGCTGGTTGAAACACACCAGATTTTTAGGGAGTGGATTAAAGGGACTGTAAGCTTGTAATGTCAAGTAACCCTCCATGCAAATTTCTGATTTACAACGGTACCCTTAAAACCTTTGTGTGTTCGTCAAGTACAGAGATATTTGTGCGACCATATCTAAATCCGTTTGTATTATCAGCTGCAAAGTCAGCTGTGAGCTGCGTTGAGTTCAAACTGTACGCAGTGCACACCGGAATTTTCAGCTGATCATACAAAATGTACTGTATATGCATCCAGTCGTATTGTCAAGTCTGGTTTACCTGTGAGGAGTCGACCCGGTAAGTTTTTTGCTACAAATGCAGCTTGGCTAAACCACAGTTGATAATTGTAACCTTACTTTTGAAAGAGGTGGAAATTTATAATTAGGTTTCGCTGATGCAGCATTTTAAGATATTGTATCTGCATATTTTTAGAAGTTTACCTCTTTAAACATAAATTTATACGGTATAAACTCTGCGTGCAAACCTTGTGATTTGTACACAACCTTGCTATATGTCAGTTTTATACGAGAAGTGAAACAATAACTTTTGTAAGCACTTATATATTTCTTTCAATTTAAACCTTTCACTGATCAACTATGTTTGCTGTTAATAGTTCATACAAATAGGATTGGTTTAATTTGTAGAATTTGTAGAATTTGTACACCCTTATGTTGCAACAGTTTTATGTGTCCGACAAAATTATAATAATATTGATAATTTAGTGCTTATCTAACAGTGAAATAAAGAGCTTATCTAACAGTGAAATAATTTTAAATTTGTGTTCTTTATTTTCTGTTTTTACACTTTCTTATTCAATCTTGGAAAACATGTCAACTAATGGGAGAAAATTGTATCTTTCTTGTTAAATTTGACACTTGTGACGTCATGTACAATTGGTCACTTCTCTGTTGCCACATATTGTACTTGTTTAATTGTCAAATAAAGGTGGTTTAACCTGACAGTATTTATGCTTGCTGGATTATTACCAGTTTTAGTAGAAGGGACTGTAAGTGTTCTTTTAAGTGACCATAAAAGCAAAGATGGCAATGCCTGATTCACAACGGTATCCTTAAAACTGTATTTATTAATCTAAATATCTTGGATTTTAGACTAGATTTTTTTTTTAAGTAGTTTCTAGTTTCCATCAAATGCGTAAATAGATTAAAGTGCTTCTTAAAACCGAATGATTTCTCCTAAATAATGATTCATAAACAAGCAATTTTGAGAAACATGTTTTTTAAAGATGTCCTATTTCTAATAACTATATCTATATATATAAATTATCTAGGGTATGTTGGAACACTATATATATACAACTAAATCTAGAGTATGTTGGGACACTATATATATATATATATAAATTATCTAGGGTATGTTGGAACACTATATATATACAACTAAAACTAGGGTATGTTTGGACACTATATCTATATATATAAATTATCCAGGGTATGTTGGAACACTATATATATACAACTAAATCTAGAGTATGTTGGGACACTATTTATATATATATGAATAATCTAGGGTATGTTGGGACACTATATATATATATTTATAAATAATCTATGGTATATTGGGACACTTTATATGTAGATTAATCTGGGGTATGTTGGGACACTATATCTTTGTCTAGAGTATATCGGGACACCATATCTTTGTCTAGAGTTTTTTGGGACACTATAAATTATTTCCTTGTATGATTGTAGAACTATAAATCTAGACTGAAGCCAATTTAGATCCATCACCCATGTGTCAAACGCATCTTTAACAGCTTGTTGGGATCATGTAAAAATTATAATTAAACATCCCTAACCCCCCCCCCCCCTCTACAAATCTTTAACCTCCCCATATCCTTGATGCTATTAAATATTTAAATATAAACTTCAAAGTTTCGCAATATTGTGTAAATTGAAGGTTTTTTGTGTATTCATGTTCTGTATATCTTTTGGTTAAACATGAACTTTTCTTTTCTAAATGAATTTGCAAACATCAAAGAAAAAACAAAATATGAATTTCATGTGAATTTTCATTGCCATTACACGAAATAAACTTTTTCCCTCAAGCCTGAAAAAAAGTCTAGTTTTTTCCAAGTACAAACAAAAGTGCCTGGCGTTGGCCGTGGAATTTAAAGATTGTCCAACGATGGAAAAGGAGTTTCTTCACCAAAACGTTGAAACTAAGGACCATGTCACTGAAACGCTCTGTTAAGGGTACAGTACATATAAGTGTAAATTTAAATGAACCTCGATGCAAAGATGGCAATTCCAGATTCACAATGGTACCCTTAGTAGCTTTGTCTGATCAAGATTAAATTAGATATAATGTCAAACATTGAATTTTTTCAACTACAATAGTGATCTTGGATTTCTACTGCTGGAAAACATACATGAATTATCAGAGTTTTCCTTTAAACCTTGTAAAACGATAACATTGTTCACATTATTGATCAGATTCAGGTTTAATCAAACTATAAAGTAAATTATACGAAAGATTTAAATCGTTAACTTCTCGTATTTTAGAACTAAAATGTTTTGAATTTATTAAGGTTAAAGGTTGGTCGTGTCTTTGTCCTTATTGGGCCTCCTGCTAAAACCTATCAACCAAAGTCATGTACAAATTGTGAATTAAATCACTATTCTCTTCATATTCTGCAGCTGCTTATAATGCAAACAATACATTTAA